TATATAATATTATTTCTAAGAAAACAGATATATATTAATACCTAATACTCTGTGTTAAATGTATACACTAGTTAGGATAGTGTTTCCTAAACGATGTTGGTATTGGAAATTGATCATAAGCATTATAGTATTGCCTGGTGATAAGATAAGACTTATAAAGCATGATTAGTTTGAGTTAAGTTGAAGAGATGTTAGATTTACCCTATACTATGAAGATATTACGTAGGCACAAACTTTGAGATGATTATGGGTATTACAACCTTAATCTTTAACTATGGTTTCTTTGGTTAATTCTGAAAAAACCTTAATCTTTAACTATTTTGGCTAAATAATTAAAATAATGGTCTTTTGTAAATTATTTTAATAATTTTTTGATCTTATTAAACTTGTTTTAACTATTAGTGTTTATTAGACAACTCTTTAAAAATTTGAAATTATGATCATTGATAAAAATTGGCCTTTCTATGTTACACTTTTTTTGTTTTTTTAGTGCCTTAGGATTTTATGATTATATTGTCAATTAAGAAAAGTTGAACTACAAAAAAACAAAATTCATTGTATAAATACGAATTTGAGAATATTTATCTTACAATAGGTTTACCAGAAGTTCCATTATATAGTCCTCCATGATCATCAAATATACTCTAGTAGTAGATATCAAATAGAGCACTAATACAATGATAATTAATAACAATTTAGAAAGAAAATGGATAGGGTTTCATTATTGTCATAAAATGTAATTATAAAGAATGGGAACTAAAGACTATAAATAGAAAATTAATATGAACCAAGCTAAACCTCTACACAAAAACCCTATAGAAAATAAGCCAAATAACTCTTATTATACAAACATAAATAAACATATACATAATATACAATAGACTTTGACCTACAACCGAGTTATCAAGATACATTGATATTGAAATGAACTAAGCCTAATTCATCGACAAAGGTCATCATCGAATGTCAATGATGTTGATGTTGACCCAACATATATTTGTTTTACTTGCTCACCATACTTCATATGTACAAAATTATTTGGAACTGTAGAGGAAACATGCGACAATCTCATGCCTTCTAACTCAATAACAACTTCTTTCATTGTTGGCCTATTTTTTCCATTCAAATTCAAGCATCGCAATGCCAGGTTTGCTATTGATAACAACTCACTCATTGAACCCTCTTTAACATTCATTTCATCCAAAATAGACAATATACGTCCTTCTTCCATGGCGACCACAAAGTGTGTAGCTAAACTTCTATTATCACCAAATCTAGTTAAGGAAATTGGCTTTTCTCTTGTCAAGAGTTCTAGCAAAACAACCCCAAAACTATAAACGTCACTCTTTTCAGTAAACTGGCTCGACTGGAAGTACTCTGGATCCAAGTAACCAAATGTCCCTTTGACTAATGTAGTTAAGTGAGTTTCATCTATTGACACAAACCTTGAAGTTCCAAAGTCAGAAATTTTTGCTTTATACTTTTCATCCAAAAGTATATTAGTGGTCTTAATGTCTCTATGGTATATTGGAATGGAGCTTGATGAATGTAAGTAAGAAAGGGCTCCCGCAACCTCTCTAGCAATTTGTAGTCTCATCTTTAAAGAAGTTGCAAACTCGTTAGTTTCATCTTGAATAAATTCATACAAGGTACCATTTGAGATGAACTCAGAGACAAGTAGCGGGACCTCTGTTTCTAGGCAACATCCGAGTAGTCTGACCACATTTCTATGATTGACTTGTGAAAGAATGACCACTTCGTTAATAAACTGTTTAAGTTGGCTTTCACTAACCACCTTTGATTTCTTGATGGCTACAATCCTTCCATCAGTTAACATGCCTTTATATACTGTGCCTTGACCTCCTCGACCAAGAATTCTATTCTCATTGAAATGGTCAGTGGCCTTTTCTAATTCATTGCAGGTAAAAAGTATGGTTTTATCAAATAAATTGATATCAGTTGCTTGTTGTTTAAGAAGTAAACCACCATTGCGTTTAAAATACCTTTCTTTCCTTCTCTTTGCTTCACGTTTCTTGATTATTTTATATAATGCGTAGCTGATCACCATGAGGAAAAGTGACCCCATGCTTATGCTAACACCTGAAAGGATGTAAATATAATGCATAAACTTAGCTTAGGAAACTTAAATTGTTCGAATATTGAAGTTGATAAGTATTCAGTTTCCAGCAATGCCTCTTGAGAGATTACAAATCTTTAGAGACTAAACATTTTCGAAAAGTAAAACCAACAATTTGATGGTTTTTATTTCACTTGTAGGTTAGTTGCACAATTTTATCGATATTAACTCAGAGACATTCATATTGATATAATTTATTGCTTAATAAAGATATAAAAGAAATATATAATAAATTCATAGCAGAATAATAACATAAAGTATTTTCTTTACGTCTTCATTTTATTTTTGTGTCTTTTTGAAGCTATATA